TGCACTCCAAGTGCAGGTCTAATTAGTGCTCAACAATCAACTTCTAGTGCAGGTGGCCAAAAAAGAAAGACTAGCACATGTTTGAGAGGTGGTGCAACTCTTGCATATAAGAAACCAAGACCAAAAAAAGCAAAGACAGCTGGTTATGGTCTCTTATTTGGATCAGGTGGCAGTGTAACTGCGAGGGTATGTATTTTATCATTTAAACACATTAAATTGCTTTAATTGATATTAGTTCATCTTTAAGTTAAGATTTTTGTTGTTCTCTCAGTCTGGAAATACTGATAGGGTATTACATAGTGCTACATTGTCAAGTTCAACTCCTACCAATATTGATCTTGGTTACAAACCCAATGGACTAAGGTGGAAGGGAAGAGCTGCAATTACTCAAAGGCAGCTACGGGAGGAGAGTTACAGAAGCACTCAAGGCACACCAAGCACTCAAGGCACTCAAGGCACACATTAGATTTCACTTGGTTTAGCTTAATGACTTGATCCCAACTAACTTTATTTTGATTAATGACTTGATCCCAATTGTTTTGGTTATGCTATTAGGAAGACTTTGTTTTTGTATATGAATGGTGCCTATATGAATTTGTGTTAAGTTGTTATTGGGAAGACTTTGTTTTTCTGTATGAATTTGTGTTTGAATGAAGTTGCTATTTAGATTTCTAAAGCAAATGCAGTCCGTTTCATTATCAAATAACACCTAGTACAAATTAATATATCTTAAAAATAACGGCTACAAACCAAATAACAACAATCACAATAACAGTGATATCAATACTAGTGTTTGATCCTTGTCTTCCTTGTCTTCTATGTCTTCCTTGTCTTCCTTGCCTTTGAACTCGTTGATGGATTCTTAGTGTTGTATTGTTCTTGGCATGTTGAATCATTTGCATCAGCCCATCGGAAGAATCCACACCCATTACCGGATGAATATTTTTGGCAACCCCAAAACATTCTTCCAGGATTAGTTGGTGTTCTTGATGTCTTTAGTTCAGCATATATTCCACAGTAGCAACATCGAACCGTCATTGTGAAGACCAACAAAATCAAACCAACAAGAATACAATAGAACCACAATAAAAAAAAAAAATGAAACAAAAATACAATAGAATCACACACAAAAAAAAAGAATGAGTAGATCGAAGGAAAAAATAAAGGCACCAAAAATAAAAGAGAAAAAAATTTGAAAAGACAAAATCGAGAAAAAGAAGAGAAAAAAGCTCAAATTTGTCCAACAATGGTGTTTGAGTGAAAATAAAGAAGAAAGATGGCCTTTAAAGGTCAAAATCTGACCGTTACTTTATTTTTAAGGCATCTCACGCTCTTACCTTGTGTGTATCACACGCTCCATGTGGAGTCTTTCCACATAGGATGCCACATCAAAAAAAGTGTTTAAAATGTTGAGTTTGGATGGGTTCAGGGGTCCAGATGACAAAATGATAAGTAGAAGGGTTCACAATACAAACAGATACAAGTACAAGGGTCCACCAGACCATTCTGCCGAATAAAAATGATAAATTTACTATATCAATTATTATTTTCTTAATTAGTGTGTCAGTTCAAAAGTGACAAGTAATTAGGAACACATGTGCCGACGAGGACATGTGTGCTTCTTGGAATTACATTATTAATAAGGAATATTTTAGTCATTTGAATATTTAAAAGCAATCTTTCTCTTAATAATTTATATATTTTTAGAAATTACGGAAATATGTACAAATCACAATAATTAATACTATAAAAATATTTTTAAAAAATTATGGTCAAATTTAAATTTGATTGACCCACCAAATTTTATATGTGTCGCGTAAATTGAGGCAAATGAAGTAATTTATATTATTTGAAATGGAAAAGGGTAAAAAATATCCTTAAACTATCCAAAATAGATCATATTTACCCTTAAACTATATTTTGGCTCAAAACTACCCTTCCCGTCAAACTATTGAGTCAAAAGTGCCCTTCTTATTAACAGAAATTGTTAAATGTCATGTGGATGCCACATTGCATGCCAATAGGGTTCCACTGCCACATAGACTAAACAAAAAAGGGTCAAAAATACCCTTCTTATTAACGAAAGTTGTTAAATGCAACGTGGATACCACATTGCATGCCAATAGGGTTCCACTGCCACATAGACTAAATTCTTAAATCCTAATTACTCTTTTTTTCCCCTCATTTCATTATTTTCCAAAAACGTTTTCACCCATTCTCCCTCATTTCATGGCTAGGGTTTCACAGTTTTCTTCGTGGCTGGGTTTCAAAGTGGATATTCGTGGTTGTAGGTTAGTAAATCTTTTTTCAGACCAGGCATCTTTTGTTCCAATGAATCTATAGATATCATCATCTACATCCAGAAAGCCCTATGCTTTGGAAGAAGCTCGAAAAACTGTTTGGGAATTGATCAAAAGAAGAATCTACTTCAAACGAATCGGAACCTTTATGCGTAGGTAGGCTTTCGACTCAATCTAGTAGCCTACCTATCGGGCGCCAATAAAAGAGAAAGTTTTCGCATGGGCTCATCATCTGATGCAGAACCGATGCGAGAGGGAGAAACGGGGATTGATAGCTTTCAAGAACCGAAGTCAATTCATTCAACAAGATCTGTTCGGATCAGATCTACCAGCGACCGGTTTACGGAACAAGGAGTTAAGCAAGTCTATTTTTGGGGATTTTTAAAGAAATCAGGTCAATATTGGTTGATTTGGGGATTTCCATCCACAAAAGGGGCACATATGATAAGTTTATTAACGGTAGGGGTAAAAATAACTTCAGTTTAACGGTAAAGGCATAGTTAACTAATAAACTAAAGTTGAGGGATATTTTTGACCCTTTTCCCTTTGAAATAACTAAAAAGCACTATAGACCACAATAATTAACAACTTAAAAATTTAAAAGACATAAAATATTTGATTAATTCTTGAAATTCTATAGGTGCCACATAAATTGGGATAAAAGGAGATACATATATTATCTGAAAATTAAGTACAAAAAATCTATAAATCAGAATCATTAACTTAAAATATTTACAAATTATTAAAAAAAATAGATGAACTTTCAAAATTTCATTTATATCACATAAATTATGATAGCGATAATAATATATATTGGGCCCGTGTTGGCCCGGGCTCCATCGTCTAGTATAATGAAACAAATCTACAAGAATTTATCATGTGAATATTTTACGACAAGAATAAAATAAAAAGCTATCAAAAAATTTAATTATAGTTCACCCATTTTTTAATTAATCATAAAAAACAAACAAAAAAAAGAATTGTTGTTTGCCTAATAATGAGAGAATCCTTAAATTATTTTATTTATTATTTATATTTAGAGAAAATGGATATTAATGGCGTAAGAGATGGTTTGCCTATTTTTCTTTTTAATAAAGATCTATTTTGATGTATGTTTTTAGAGAGGTTCGATTTGATACGTTGTATCAAAAAAATATTTATTTTGATGCTAAACTCAAGAATAATTAGTTACAATTATGATTGACTAGTATTTATTTTTACAAAATTAGATATATTTAAAAGTTTATAATCACAAATATTTATTTATAAAAGAAAAATATAAATATGTGACTTTTCAATAGAGTGCCTTAGAATATTTCGATATCTTGTTTATGAATTATGATTTACTCATATAATAAGATTGTATAAAAATTTTAAAAAAAATATAATAAAAAATACAACTTAAAAATCCAAATTACATATCTAAATAAATTTCAACTAAATATCAATTTAATTTTATATCACTATTTTTATCCAAATTACTTATCTAAATAAATTTGAATTTCATATCAATTTCAGATTATAACCCTTATATAGATATTTGACTGTTACATCATTTTTATTTTATTTCCTTTTTTATTGATCAACTGTAATAAGATGTACATTTTTATACAAGGAGCCAAGAGGGACTTAGAGTTGCATCTTCATCTCTCTCTTTCATGCTCAGGTGAGTTGATCATCAAGGTCAGTTTTTTCTCCCTCCATCACTTAATTTCAACTGCTACTTATCGGAAAGATTAATTAAATTCAACGCCGGCAGGCGGCAGCTATATCAATTATAAAAATAAAATTAAATGGTATCTTGTATGCCGTAGATGTGAATTGAAACCAGTAAATTCGTTATTCATTGTATTGATTTTGGATGAAAATGTTTAGTTTTCCCCTGAATTTGATGGGATTTCGTTTGATTCATTGTATAATTTGTTTATGAGTTTTTTTGAATTGTTGTAATCAGATGAAAATAGGAGAGGGGACAGAGAAGAAGTTATCTTCTATGGTCACCTCTCCTTGTGATCCACTGGGCGATGAGTTATTGCAAGGTCAGTGGTCCAGGGAAGAGACGGATCACAAGGGTATTGAAAAGGGATTAGATTTATATGGAAGCATGGATGAGAGTGAATTTATAGACAGTATGGATATGGGAGGGGAGTGGATTGGGAAGGTTAGTCAACTGCAAAATACGAGTGAAACTTGTGATAAATTATTTGTATCAGCAAATTCTTGTGAATCTGCAGAATATAAGAGTAGTGAACTAGTTGGGAAAGAAATTGAAAGCTTTGGGACTAGTGGTGGTTCATTGGAAATCATATCTATGGGAATTGATGATGGTTTGGAGTTGCTTAGAGATTTTAAAACCATGGGAGGGAGTTTGGAAGGATCAGGCTTGCAATCTGGTGTAGAAATCGGTGGAGGTGAGTTTGTAAGATGTTCCGATGAATGTGAGACGTCATCAAAATATGAGCATTCAGATGGCGAGGACTCAATGTTTGGAGGAAGCACTAATGATGAGGAGAACATTAATTCTTATTATGGAAGAGAGGTACAACGTTCTCTTGAAGAAAATGGCAAGGATGAAAATAAGTTGGTTATGGGTTCGGCAATAGCCTTTGGTTCGGATGATTGGGACGATTTCATGCAGGAAAATGGAGAATTTACTCTCTCTTCAATGGGGCATGAAGAACTTCAGCCTGAAAACCAGCCTACTACTAGAAGTGAAAATGAATGTTTGAATATTGCTACAACTGGTGTTATTGAGTATTCTAGTGTAGGTTTAGCAATGCCTAAAGAAGAGGACCTTTCAAGTAATCACGACCAAGGTGGTGATAATTTAATCAACTACCTTACTACCTGTTCTGTGGACCCATTGAGTCTTTTGAACCATGGAAAACCTGATCATGTTGAAGATGAGAACGCCATGCTTATTACAAACACCCAAATTCAACAGATAAATGAATCGGCAAAGTTCCTTGAGCAGTCTTGTGCTTTCAAATTGTTTAATCAGGACAGAAGTCCCCAAACACAAATAGGTGAAGTTCCTATCAAAGAGGATCTAAAAATTGAAGGCGGTGAAGGTGCCTATGATGAGAAATTAATTCTTATCCATGATGATCTTGTTTCCGGAGAAGTGGAGCTAAAACACAGTAGCTTATTATTGGACCCTTTATCTCATCCTGATCAAAACGATTATCATTCATCTACAGAACCTTCCAAAGATGTAAAGTTAGAACTATCTGCAGACCAAAGTTCATCTACATCATTAGCATCAGTGACTAATGATAATACAAATGCTAAAAGTACCTCCCTTTCAGTTGGTTGCTCTGAATATCATCTTGCATCTAAGGTAAATTATTGACAAATATATATAAGGATATCGCAAGCTTATATATTTTAGATATTCTTGGTGAAGTTTACAAATATGTACCATGTTTTCCGTCAAACAGATAAAAATTGGCATCTTTTGCTTGTTTTGGTTTTGCTGACCTCCTAGCTCCTTGAACTGTGAAATTTAATTGGTGGCCTATATTACTACAGTAACTAAGCATAGTCGCTTCACATTGATTTGTACTCATTACATATATCTATCTGCTAGGTAAAGGTCTTTTACCTGATTTTATCTTCAGCGATGAGCTGGCTGAAGCATGCCACGAAATGTGAAAATACTACTTGAGGTTCTTCCATTGGAAATCCATAAATCTGAAATCATAAGGGTGAATTTGCAAGCATGGGAAGTTATTTTGTTTCTCTAAGAGTGACTCCTTTACATACAACCTCTCTTTTTCACCACATGAAGTAATTATTTGATTAAACAATTTGACTTCTCTATCTGAAATCTATGCTTATTTAACACATTGTATTGAGTAGTTTATTTATCAGGAGGTGTATCAATTAAACCTCCAACTTTGCCAGTGACTAGAAAATGGTGAATAGTATATAATTACCCGATCTTTGCTTATGTAGCCAAATACAGAAGCTAAATAAATGTTCTTGTAATCCTACATATACAAATCTGCAAACACTGCGACATGTTTTTGTTAATCTTGTTCAATGTATGAAAAATGATCTGTCTGCTTGTTGAATGGAACACGTGAGTTGAATGTCTTAGATCTTAAGTATTGCTTATTAAGAACTGATAAAGATCGGATTCGTGAAATTGTAGCTACTTGAAAGAAAAGCTTATTTAGATAAAGAAGAAGACTTCAGCGTCATAAATGATAAAGTGCTTATTTATATGCTGTGGAATCGAAAAAAGAATTTTTGATACTTTAACTTACTATTAATATTGGAGCGCCTTTACGTTAGAACTCCTCGAGGGTCCACTTATTTTCACGAGCATTGTCCCTCTTGGAACATATACTGATTCTTTCCCGAGTGCAATCAGCAATGATTTCCAGTGACTTCTGCTGTTGTGCTTATGGACCTTCTGTTTGACAGCCAGGGTCCTTTGGCTTATGCTTATGTGGTATGCAGATCAAAAGAAGAAATATATCGTTTGTGCATAATTTTCTGAATGGTGGTTATTGCTGACAGTACATATTGCTTTCATGTTGGTCAATTTTTGTAACTTACTTTGGTGTTAATGAATCTTTCCCCAGTTCTACGTACAAGGCTCCTTCCTTTGATGCTTTGTGTTTTCTCTTTCTTTTTGCAGACACAGAATCTTGAGTTAAATGAATTATATGATGAGCTTGTTCATGATATGGAAGAGATATTACTTGAATCTGGTGAATCTCTTGGATTCAGTTTTGGTAACAAGATTTATCAATCATATATACCACTTCCTTCAAGAGATGGTGGTTCTACTGCTTCTACTTCTGGTACTGATGATGCTTATGCTGCAATCCAAAACCCTCTGAAATTTGACAGGGTGGAGGTCATTGATACAATACAGAAGATAGGGGATGTTTCACTTAGTGAGAGATTAGTTGGAGTAAGAGAATATACTGCATACAGGATAAGAGTGTGGAATGGCAAAGATAATTGGGAGGTTGAAAAACGGTATCGTGAATTTTCTGCTCTCTATTGGCGGTTGAAAAAGTTATTCGCAGATCAGGGAAGGATTCTTCCTCCTGTCTGGTCCTCTGTTGAACAAGAGTCACGGAAGGTTTTCAGAAGTGCTTCTCCAAAAGTTGTTGCTGATCGAAGTGTTCTTATTCAAGAGTGTTTAAATTCCCTTCTCCAGTCAAGGTTTCCTACAGGTGCCCTCAATGTTGTAGTGTGTTTCTTATCTCTGTCTAAGGATCTTCCAGATTCTCCAACTTATGATACAAATGCACTTCAGTCTCCGTCTACTTTAAGAAGCAGAATCAGAGGGAATGTTTCCAGCTTGGGGAAGACTATTTCCCTCATTGTTAATAAACGACCTTATAAATCGAATAAACAGTTACTAGATGAACAACATTATTCTTGTGCTGGTTGCTACAAAAATTTTGACGATGGGAAGACTCGAATACAGGAATTTGCGCAGACTATGGGGTGGGGAAAACCTCGTTTCTGTGAATATAGTGGTCAGCTGTACTGCTCTTCATGCCATACAAATGATATGGCTGTCTTGCCTGCAAGGATTCTGCATCTTTGGGACTTTAATCAATACCCAGTTTCTCAGATGGCTAAATCTTATCTGGACTCTATCCATGATCAGGTAATGAGAAAATTTCCCAATCAAATTTGACTAAATCTCTGTTTCTTGCCATTCTTTTTGACTGAACAGGAATGCATTATGTATCTTTGTATATCTATATATAATTAAGCAATTTAATGACACTTGGTCTTGTTCCTCATCTTGCATACCAAATATCTTTCTACAATCCAAAAGGTTGCAACCAAGGGTGTATAAGTAGTCAATGAAAGTGGGGATAAAGGCCCTGGAGACTAGGGATTAATCCTAGCAGAGACAAAAAAAGCAAAGAACTTGGTGAATTTTGCTCATCTACCTAAACTTTTAAAGTTACATGATACGTAGATAGTAGGTACCCGGTGGACTAGTGAAGGTGTGGAATGGCACCGGAAAAGATGAATAACTACGCTTTGACAGGGTTAGTAATACATATGACCTGCTGCCGTCATTGGGAGAATCGGCATTAATCCCCAGCTGTAGAAATGCTCACGTTTCTTGCCTCCCCCCTGGGCTGCAGCCTCCTGTATTCTTACTTCTGGCTCCTTTCACTATGAGAACATGAAATAACTGTAGGACTTATGTTTCATTCTTCTGCTCTTGCAGCCAATGCTTTGTGTCAGTGCAGTTAATCCTTTTCTGTTCTCAAAGGTCCCAGCTCTGCAGCATGTCACAAATATCAGAAAAAGGATAGGAACTATGCTTCCATTTGTTCGCTGCTCCTTCCAAAGATCCATCTACAGGGGAGTTGGATCTAGAAGATATCTTCTTGAAAGCAATGACTTTTTTTCTCTTAGGGATCTCATAGATCTATCCAAAGGAGTCTTTGCAGGTTAGCCTGCAAAACGAAATTTATACTCATGATGCTTGGACACATGTGCTGTGATGTTAAAGTCCCAGAAGATCTTGTCTTTACTAGTGATTTGTTTTACTTATATCTTTCTTTTCCATTTTATTTTTGTTGAAGATTATGAGTGAGGACTATTGTTAGCTCTTGGTTGATTTTATTTGATATTTTACAGTTATACACCAATCGCTCAAGTTGCCATAGAATTGTTCCTAAACTGCAGTCTTTTCTTTATTTTGTCCCCACTCCTCTCTCCCTCAAAATCATAGCAGAGCCTGAAAGTACTATTAATCCCTTCTTATTTACATTTACTGTTTCTTTCCCATGAATATATGAATGTTACTTCCTGCTTGTCAGAACATAGAAATGAGAATTAGGAGAAATCAGGGAAAGGATGTTTCTTTAATAGTTCTGATCTGTTTTCCATGTGGCAACATTATTGAGAAAACTGACTTGATTTGGTCCTATGCTATATGACTTCAAATGCAGCTTTACCAGTTATGGTCGAGACTATATCAAGAAAAATTCTGGAGCATATAGCTGAGCAGTGCCTTATATGTTGTGATGTGGGTATACCCTGCAATGCTCGGCAAGCCTGTGATGACCCCTCTTCTCTCATTTTCCCTTTCCAGGTTGGCAGGGTTTATCTTGTTTCATTTATTGATATTTGTTTCTTATTAACATACTGTTTGGGAAGTTGAAGTTAATTAATCAGACTTTTCAACCATTCTGCACTGCATGTTCCAAAAGAATTTAGCTCAAATTCTAAAAGTTTGACTTTTTTTAATAAAGGTGAATAATTTTATCTGAAAAGGTTCAAAAATACCCCTAAACTATCTGAAATAGCTCACATTTACCTTTAAACTATATTTTGGCTCAAAACTACCCTTCTCGTCAAAGTATTGGGTCACACTTACCCTTCTAGTTAACATTAGTATGTTAAGTGCCACGTGGACGCTACGTGGACGCCACATAAGCGCCAAACATTTCCCACTTTCATGTAGACTAATAAGATCCCTAATTTCTAATTCACCCATTTCCCCTCATTTCTCTTAAGATATATTTCACCCATTTCCCCTAATTTTCCCCTCATTTCTCCATTTCCCTTACCATATTCACTATGGTTCTGTATCTAATGCTATTAATATTGGGTACTGCAACATGCAGCAGCCTCCCTAATCCTATGATGAGTGAATGCAAAAAGGCAGAAAATGTGATCGATGAAAATCATTTTTTTGTGTTCGATAGTCATAAATTAATTTTTCCTATCTAGACATTCAACTTTATATTAGTACATATTTTAAAACATCACTTAGATAATTGTTAATTACTCCTAAGGGAAATGGAGAAATGAGGGGTGAAATGTATCTTAAGAGAAATGAGGGGTGAAATGTATCTTAAGAGAAGTGAGGGGAAATGGGTGAGTTAGAAATTAGGGATCTTATTAGTCTACGTGGAAGTGGGAAATTTTTGGCGCTTATGTGGCGTCCACGTGGCACTTAACATACTTCTGTTAATTAGAAGGGTAAGTATGACCCAATACTTTGACAGGAAGGATAGTTTTGAGCTATAGCAGAGCCTGAAAGTACTATTAATCCCTTCTTATTTACATTTACTGTTTCTTTCCCATGAATATATGAATGTTACTTCCTGCTTGTCAGAACATAGAAAAGAGAATTAGGAGAAATCAGGGAAAGGATGTTTCTTTAATAGTTCTGATCTGTTTTCCATGTGGCAACATTATTGAGAAAACTGACTTGATTTGGTCCTATGCTATATGACTTCAAATGCAGCTTTACCAGTTATGGTCGAGACTATATCAAGAAAAATTCTGGAGCATATAGCTGAGCAGTGCCTTATATGTTGTGATGTGGGTATACCCTGCAATGCTCGGCAAGCCTGTGATGACCCCTCTTCTCTCATTTTCCCTTTCCAGGTTGGCAGGGTTTATCTTGTTTCATTTATTGATATTTGTTTCTTATTAACATACTGTTTGGGAAGTTGAAGTTAATTAATCAGACTTTTCAACCATTCTGCACTGCATGTTCCAAAAGAATTTAGCTCAAATTCTAAAAGTTTGACCTTTTTTAATAAAGGTGAATAATTTTATTGACCTAAATGTTGTGACTTAAACTGATGTAATTGTCCACTTCCAATATTTACTTGCATAAGAAATGCCAGACCTTCAAAGATGTAGTTTGTCCTTCAACAGGAAGAAGAAATTGAAAGATGCAAGTCTTGTCAATCAGTTTTTCACAAGCATTGCTTTAGGAGGACATCAAGTTGCCCTTGTGGTACTCAATTTAAACCGGAGCTAGAGGGAAATACAAGTAGGGGCAACCAGAGTGAGAGCAGTGTGGGGAATCTCTCCTTGGCCTTGCCAGGAAAGAAGGCAGACCTCAGTAAGGGGCTTTTTTCTAGAGTATTCTCGAAGGTAAGATCACTGAAGTCTATCGAGGGTGGAGAACAGCGGCCTGAAGATAAGAGTACTGCTATTGTAATGGGCTCATTGCCTCTGACCAACCTCTGAATACCTGTACATATATTCGTCCTTGTATTTTGCGTTGCAAGAAAATCATGTGAATTGAAGCTTGTGCTTTAGCTAAGACCTGTAAGAATTGCCTATTCTTTCTCTGTTTGTGTCTCTCCATCTTATTTGGTCCTTTTGTATTTTCCTTCATTTGACTTGTATTCTTTTGTAACAATTTTCAGAAACATGGGTGATTTTTTCTTCTCTCCATGATCATTTTCTTCTATTATAGCCAAAACTTCTGATCTAATTATACTTTTTGTGAAGTTCAAGAAGCTCAGCTAACTCAGCATTCTTTGGTTTTGCCAATACATCACGACATAACTTTAGTTTGTATGAATTTGAAGAGTGCAACTTATCCTACTTATGATGGCCTTTACTGTATGCACTATGCAGTGAGGAATTTGTTCCATCTTTTGTCTATTCCTTTTGCTTTGGCTTTGACGTTGGAGTAGTTGGTGTCTGCATATTCATGATAACACAGAGTACAACCAGGGAAAGGAGCAAGAACTTAACTTAGGTACACTGGATGTGTGTATTTACATTTTACACCATTGATATACTTGTAACCTGCTTTATTTATCAGGTTTATTAATTTCACTTTTATGGGGCATGAAAAAGAGTTATCTGATGCTTTCTTTTGGTGTTTCTCATAAAATAGAAAAAGTTATATTAGTAACATTCCACACCTTTAATCACTTCAGTTTTGACTGAAGATGCTTTTTGTTTCCCAACATATAGCCACTTCCCCACTAGAAAAGTGGAGATCTTCAACAGAAGAATGGGCCATTCACTATCTATACAGCTTTCTCATTGTCGGCATGTTCATTGTATTTGATATGAGAGTGTAAACATGTTGCATATATATATATATTGAACAATAAATTATATGTATGAACTATTGATATCTGTTTGTTTTTTGTCATATTTAGGCTACATATATATCTTGCAACCACAAAACTCTACCCCTCTATTCTCTTTTTGTATATTTACTGCTATTTTGCTACATAAAGTAATACTATTGTGTTTCCTTTACTTGTTACCTTTTTTTTCCTTTTCTGGGGAAGCAAGGACCAAATACCAATGTTGTATTGTTCAAAAAATGAACTCATGTTGCCTTTTCTGCTATTTGTTGTAATCTTTTCTCATTCTCCCTCTACAGTTAACTGCCTTTAAGGCATAAAAATCCATGTTTAGCATCATCCTGCACACTGATAAGAGTGAGGAAACCATTTCTTTAACAAATGGTGTTTAAGCTTCATGACCAAAACAAAAATGCCATAGCATGGTATGTGCATCGCCGCCACCGATGAATACATGAAATTTTCAATCAGAAGAGGGGTTCATTTTCTTGAATCATGAGTTTCTTATAGATCAAAATTTGCAGTAGACATTAAACAAAATGCATACCACAGAGGAGAAAATGAAGATGACAGATCAAGAAATGGATAAGGCCACCTGTTTCCAAAATAAAACCAGTATTCATTAGTTGTCCAAACAGATAATACTTAAAATGTACTAGTAATTGCAACTGGTAAAAGAACAGTGTTTTTTTTACCATATTGACATACAGGCATGGACTGCCCATTGAAAAACAACATAAACTGCTGTCCACAGAAAGAAGTATCCAATTCGAAACCAAGGGAAAAGCTGAAATTCATCGAAAATTATAAGAATTATTCAACTTATGAAGATGATTTTTGAGACCAAATGAGAAAAGTTGGTTCAACATACCAAAGAGTTGAGAGCTGTATCACCAAGTAGAAACACTACATTGATCGAATGCATGTTTATTATCCACTACAACATAAATGTAACATCAATTAGAAACACGAAACATCTCTGAACTTTATCCACTATAACAGTAAAGTCATAATAGTACATGTAGAATACTTACAAAGTTTAAATTATAACCCCTTATGGTCAGAAATGGAACAAGTATGAACCAGAAGACGCAGTCAGTAAGCGTTACTGCTCCTGCATTCATCTTTCATAACATAACAGGAAGACAAAGGTTAGTAATATGCAAAACTTGTACATTCCTTGTCATAGGATCAAACACAATCTTTTTGATTACTCGTCGATTTTACCTGGAAAATTATCTGAAAAACATATCCCCAGAAATCAGCAATTTGGCGAGAACTCTGTTCTGCATTTTCCATTGCCTGTTTTGCAGCATTTGAACTAGTGCTACTTTCTACATTCATAGACAATCTTCGCAAACTATACTCAATATCTTGCCTCTCATTACCAACTTTATTGTGATACTGATAACATCCATACATTGAGAGCACAGATCCAAGCTACATTCATATAACAAGAAATCGCGAGTAAAAAATACAGAACAAGAAAAAAGAGAAAAATTGACTTCAACTTCAATGTTGCTGCTATTACTTACCCCAAAATAAATTGTGATCAATGTGAATGTCCACCTGTTCAGTAGCCAATACATAAGCACATTTTCAAGATTCATAAATCATAATCATTTGTATAAACATACTTACTGTGTATAATAGTAAAAGAGTTCCCCTCCATCAACAACAACATTCATGATTAACAATAACAAGAGGATTAAAAACGCGACGACTCTATATCCAAGAAGCCAACCAGGATTTATAGTTTTAAGACATGGTTTCCAAACTTCATCTTCATACAAAATTCCAGGAGAGTCTTTCTCCTCTTCTCTCCTATTTCTCGAACCGCGAGGTCCTTCATACTTTGTTATAAGAATTGATGCAAAAACCATTGAAGCAAAAATCCAAATGGAACACAATGTAACCCTCCAATTCAACCAGTAATTTGATGTTGTTGTATCAACTGTCATAGCTAGTTGCCATGAATTTTTTGGTGCTCCTGTTAGAAAACTCATTGTATCACAACAAAATTGCCCAAAGGGTCCAGAAAAAAACACAACACTAAAGAATGTTCTTTTTTTTATACTTTACTTTTTGTTCAAAAGAATTTGAATACATACAAAGAATTGAAATCCCAAAAAATCCAAATTTGATTAAAGATTATATATAATGAAACTGTAGATAGTATGACATTGACACTATATACATTTGATATGTGAAAGTAAACAGAGATTCCAAACTTTCTGCATGCATCTGCACAGAAAGATATGTTGAAAATATAATTTTAATATAATGTTTTGAAATAAAAAGTGGTAAAAAAGAAGGCAAGTTCTTAACTGTAAGCAAAGGAAAGTTAGCATACTTACCAGGTGATGTGTAAGAATAAATGCTTTGCTTCTTTGCTTTGGAGGAATCAATTTTTATTTATTTTTTAACAAAAGAAATAAATAAAATTTGAAAAAAAGAGAATAGAGAGAGAGCAAAAAGAATGGTGTTCTTTGAGTCTTTATTTTGTTATCCTAATAGGATTTGCCTAATGGGATTAGTCACTAGTCTATAATCCAATATGCCCATGCAAATTAAATATGAAATTCTTAGACACGGAGGATATATTTTATTTTTTTTAGTTTTATGGTATTCCAAGTGTAACCAACAAGCTATGCTGAAGCACAAGACTCTCGGGCATGGAGGAGAGCTATGCAAGATGAACTAGATATGATCAAGAAGAACCTAAAAACCGCAAGGCGGTTGGTGTAAAATGGATTTTCAAGACAAAATTCAATTCTGATGGAACAATTTGCAAACATAAGGCTAGATTGGTGGCGAAGGGATACGCACAACAATATAGTGTGGATTACCAGGAAACATTTTCTCCTGTAGCAAGGTATGACAGATTCAAGCTTATTCTTGCATTTGCATCCCATAGTTCTTGGCAGATTCATCAACTTGATGTCAAATCAGCTTTTTTGAATGGTTTGCTTGCTGAAGAGATCTAGGTAGAGCAACCTGATGGTTACTCAATTCCTGGAAAAGAAGATCAAGTTTATCTCTTAACGAAGGCCTTGTATTGCCTAAAACAAGCCCCAAGGGCATGATATGAGAGGATGGACAATCTTCTCATCCAACTTGGCTTTAGTAGAAGTCAAACTGAAGCTACTTTGTATGTGAAAGTCACTGTATGTGAGTCCTTAATTGTCTCAATTTATGTGGATGACATGCTTGTGACAGGAAGCAAAATTGAACTAATTATCCAAAGGTTCAAAGATGAAATGGAGAAAATCTTTGAAATGACTGATCTTGGAGTCATGAAGTACTTCCTTGGCATGAAAGTGTTGCAGTCCAGTTATGGAATTTTCATATGCCAGCAGAAATACATTTCGGATATTCTAAGCAGGTTCAAAATGTAAGATTCCAAACCTGTAAGTACTCCAATCTCTACTAGTGTGAAGCTTGGCAAGGATGAGGATTCCGAAAAAGTGGATAATAGTATGTATAGAAGCTTAATTGACAGTCTTCTATATCTAACCGCAAGCAGACCTGTCATTCTCTTTGTTGTAAGTTTCTCTCTAGGTTCATGCATTCGCCTAGAGACACACACTTCACAACGGCTAAAAGAGTGTTAAGGTATATTAAAGGAACCAACAAGTTTGGAACTTTTTTTCCAATATCTGACGAAGTAACTATGAACCTGATCGGGTACTCTGATAGTGATTGAGGTGGCGGAGTTGAAGATTCCAGAAGCACCTCTGGATATATTTTCTATTTGGGGACAAGTTGTTTTAGTTGGAGCTCTAGGAAACAAGAAACTACAACTCAATCAACAGCAGAAGCTAAGTACATAACTGTTGCATCTACTGTGAATCAAGCTATCTGGCTAAGGAAAATGGTGAAGGACTTGGGCCATGAACAAACAGAAGCTACCAAGATTATGTGTGACAACAGTTCAACAGTTTCAATCTCAAAAAATCCAGTGTTTCATGGTCGAACTAAGCATATCAAGATCAAGTTTCATTTTATTAGAGAAGTCTAACAATCTAATGAAGTGTTACTTGTTCGTTGTTCATCTGAGAACCAGCTAGCTGACATTTTCACTAAGTCATTGCCAAAGGAAAGGTTTGAAGATCTGAGGCAAAGAATTGGTGTTTGCCACAAAAATGCCAAGGAGGATTGTTAGACAATTGACATTTTTTCCAGCTTATTATTTTTTACTGTTTTTTACTTATTTCAGTTTAGAGCTCTCTATTCTTTAGCTAGACTTAGAGGGTGTTCGGATTGACTTAAAAGTTGGTCAAACCTACTTTTAAGTCCGTTTTTGACTTCTGAAAGTGTTTGACAAATATAAAAAATAATTTAAAATGACTTAAAATAAGTTACGAAATGTTTGACAAGGTAAAAAATGACCTAAAATAAGTCAGAAACCAAAAGTAGGTCTCCCCCTACTTTTTATTTTTTGACTTAAAAGTCATTTCAGTTTGACTTTTTATTTTTGACTTAAAAGCTATTTTTTAAAGCCAATTCAAACGGGTCAACTTTAGTTGCTCAATTTTCTGAAGTTAGTGGCCCCTTTATGGCTGTTAGTGACCTCTTTTATGGTTGTTAGTGACACATGTTCTTATTTAGTTTTAACATTCACTTGGTAAGTGACTACTAGATATAGGAAATTGCTAGGTTTTTCCTTGTATAAATTCAGATCTTCTGCAAATTAATATATAGCTGGAATTTCATAAGTTCACTTTATTTTTATTTTTCAAATAAGTTTCTTTAGTGTTTCTGTTTTAACAGAATGAAGAGAGAAGATACTTCAATCTATCTTTGATGCTACCTTGCGATTCACCTAAACACTGGTGAGATCTGAGCACCTAGTAACGTAATTTGAGTGTGGAATGAGCCTATGATCTTGGGCTCTGATACCATGTAAGCTCCATTAGTGGAGATTAATACATTGCTAACTTGCAGAAGAAATGGATGAGAAGAAGAGAAGATATTTTTAGAGACCACAAAATTACTGTTACATTGAATTGGCCCAGCTGACTATTATATTCATGTAGCTGATTATTTATAGTTTAGCTTATACACATTCAACTAACTAACTAACTATGTACAGCTGAACCTTCTCTAACAACCTAACTAATTCACACCATATGATTTGTACAGTGAACTTCACAAATACAATTCACGTCTTTTTTAATAATTTGTGGGATCAAAATTTCATCTTATTGTGTTATTCTGGTTGTAATGACTAATGACTTTAGTTTACGGGAGTTGTTGGAGCATTTAACTGTCAAGGAGGAGGATGGTGCCCTGTTTCAAGGAAAAATAAAAGTGTGAATGAGTATTCAGTTGCAGTGACATGTTTGTCTAGTCCCAAAGATGTTGAATGGAGCAATGGAGCAAATCCAGTAAGTGTGGAAGGAGTGAACATTTTCGCGGTGTACATGTATAGCCAGAAGAAACTAAAGCTCTTAAAATTGTCCGAAAATGTGGAGATTACTTTTCAGCCTTTCGACTATGAGCTCTTAACAGTCACTCCTATAGCTGTGTTGTCGAAAAAATCAGTGCAGTTTACCCCAATTAGATTGGTGAACATGCTCAATTCTGGTGATGCAATCGACTCTCTTGTCTACGACAACAGCGATGATGAGGAGGAAGAAAGTTCAGTAAGCATTGGAGTAAGATGGAGTGGTGATATGAGGGTGTTTGTGTCACACCCCAAATCCGGATGTGATGGCACGTGTCCATTTCCCACCGGACACGTCAGCCTAACCCAACCACAACGATAGAGAAGTAGAAATACGAGAATAAAAGATAATAAATAAGCGGAAGACTTTAATTAAGACTCAACACTACCCAGAATTGGTTGTCACATGTACAAACCTCTAAATACAGAATTCGAATAAAAATAGGCATTAGTTTTGCCCCGACGTCGCTCGGCCGGCTTAGATCCCTGTAGACTGGTGTAGCAGACTTGAGTCTGATAGTTTGGGCCTTAGTTAGGTGATACTCTTTCTCCGACTATAGTTATCCTTATTTTCCCCGATGTTACGGCTTCACGAATTACATCGGCGACACTAGTTCTACTTCGCGATTTGAATTTGATTTTCGATTTGGTTCCAAGGACTTTCATTGATTGGCTATGTGTGGACGGCGTTTCACGGACATTTATGA